GAGGGCCCACAACTTTGACCTTTAGGACACACGCTCAGTTCAGTTTACCTGAGGGAAATGTAGGTGTTTGCTTTGAAACTCCCTACTTGTGCGCCCGCGTGATGTGATGTCGAAAAATTCCCTTAGTTTATTAGTGATGACAAAGAACACGAGTCAATGAGGTGGAGCAAAAGAAAAAAACAGCAGACATTTAAAAAAACTCCTTGGGATGTTTTAGGGGTAAAAAACTGGCGTTCCTGGGGGCGGGTAGTATGCTAGGGGAGGGGATCGCAGAGACCACCGGGAATCATCACCGAGATTGGGAAGAGGTGGCCAGATACTCTCTGATTGCAGAGTCGGCTGATAAGGTTGCGAAAACAGAAGTATCCGCCATGATCGTCGACAGTCCAGGGGAGAATGTTAAGGGACCGCGTAGACTATGACAGCGCAAGGTACGGTAGATGCGATCGCTGATGGGATCGTCGCGGTTCGTGTAATAAGGAAGACCGCGAAAACCTTTGTCTGAGAATTATGATGAGGGGTGTTGTGCAAAATGAAGTATTTATAGTTTTTACGAGCCTCAGGATGACGTCGATCGGGGGGTGTTGTAGCGTGCATTACTATATCGGTCCAACTTCCACTTTACAACCTCTAAGGATTGGGACATAACAACATCTAGAGGTAGAGCATTCCAAGCTTCGACCACTCTGTTGGAGAAAAAGAACTTCTCGGTGTTCAGCCTGACTCCATTCACGCTTAATTTGAGACGATGGCCTCTTAAGTTCGTTGTTGTTGTTGTTGTTGTTGTTGCTAACTCAAAGAAATCTCCTGATAGAAGACAGCAGTCTCGAACAAGTAAGATGCGGAATATTAGTATTAGGTCTGTTGCGGTCAAAGGTCTACTATAACCACAAGAAGGCAGCCAGATGTTGGGAGCGATCTATTGGGTACACAAGGCGAGTTGCCGTGGGTTGACTGTTTGCAGGTGTGTAAACAATGCGACCCCTGGGATCGTGTGGGCAGCGAAGTGTTGTGTACGGGTTTTTCATGTTTCGTGTCGGTTCGCGGGGGTGCGTGTTGGGTGTGTGATTGGTCAGGTCGAAAGGGACAGTCAGGGGGACATAAACACAAGGGGCCATGGGTGACAAGGCAGGCTGGGCGATACGCGTTGTTTGCATAGATGACTGCTATGTTTAGTTCCGAAGGCCTGTGTTCAGGACTAGATTTTATTCAGGTTTGTTTTCTTAGCTTTTCTATTCCTCATAAACCCTTCCAGTGCCAATAAAAGCGAAAATGCGAGCCACAAAAAGTAACTGAGACGTGTTGCCGTCAAGCAGGAGCGATCTACTATAACCAAACCATTAAGAATATCATGCCTGAAGGCAGTCAGATGTTAGGAGCGATTTATCCGGTACACGAGGCAAGTTGCCGTAAATTGACTGTTTGCTTGAGTGTGGTAAATGTGCCCGTCTGGGTGCCTGTGAGCAGCGGCGTCTGGACAATTCGACCGTTTGAGAACGTGCTTGCAGAGGCGTGCGCTGTGAACGTGTTTGCCATTGTTTGTGTCAGCATGCGGGAGTGCGTGTTTGGTGTATGATTTGTCAGGTCAAGGGG